CGGCACCCTTCCTGGACCCCCTGCTCTCCACCTCCCTCATGGAGGACTGCGAACTGCGCCAGTTGGTCCTGGAGATCCTGCACAATCTCATTGACCGGCACGACAACAGAGCCAAACTTCGAGGAATCAGGTAGGTGTCAGCTGTCAGTCAGAAAAGAAGGGCTCCTGATTCCACCTTGAGCCAAGAATAGACTTTACTTAGAGGCAAAGAGGTTAGAGCAGAAGCAAAGCTGGATCGGAGGTTTTCGCGCGCAAAAGTTGTCGTTAACTTTCCCTTTCCCTGCAACCATCTCCCTGGTCATCGGGGACGGTCCAATTAGATGTTAACAAATTGTTTTAGTAATGGTCAGTTAGAAAAGGACTCCTGGCCCACCTTTAGCCAAGAATAGACTTTACTAGAGGCAAAGTGGTTAGAGCGGAAGCAAAGCTGGATCAGAGGTTTTCGCGCGCAAAAGTTGTCGTTAACTTTTCCTTTCTCCCTAGCCATCTCCCTGGTTATTGCGGACAGTCCAATTAGATGTTAACAAATTTAGTAACGGTGAGTTAGAAAGGAAGGATTCCTGCCCACCCTGAGCCAAGAATAGACTTTACTAGAGGCAAAGTGGTTAGTGCAGAAGCAAAGCTGGATCGGAGGTTTTTGCGCGCAAAAGTTACTGTTAACTTTCACTTTCCTCCCAGCCATCTCCCTGGTCATTGGGGACGGTACAATTAGATGTTAACAAATTGCTTTAGTAACAGTCAGTTAGAAAAGGACTCCTGGCCCACCTTTAGCCAAGAATAGACTTTACTAGAGGCAAAGTGGTTAGAGCAGAAGCAAAGCTGGATCGGAGGTTTTTGCGCACAAAAATTACCATTAACTTTTCCTTTCCCCACAGCCATCTCCCTGGTTATCGGGGACATCCAATTAGGTGTTAACAAATTGTTTTAGTAACGGTCAGTTAGAAAAGAAGGACTCCTGGCCCACCTTGAGCCAGGAATAGACTTTACTAGAGGCAAAGTGGTTAGAGCAGAAGCAAAGCTGGATCAGAAGTTTTTGCGTGCAAAAGTTACTGTTAATTTTCCCTTTCCCCGCAGCCATCTCCCTGGTTATTGCGGACAGTCCAATTAGGTGTTAACAAATTGTTTTAGTAACGGTCAGTTAGAAAAGAAGGACTCTTGGCCCACCTTTAGCCAGGAATAGACTTTACTAGAGGCAAAGTGGTTAGAGCGGAAGCAAAGCTGGATCGGAGGTTTTCGCGCACAAAAGTTATCGTTAACTTTCCCTTTCTCCGCAGCCATCTCCCTGGTCATCAGGGACAGTCCAATTAGGTGTTAACAAATTTAGTAATGGTGAGTTAGAAAGGAAGGACTCCTGGCCCACCTTGAGCCAAGAATAGACTTTACTAGAGGCAAAGTGGTTAGAGCAGAAGCAAAGCTGGATCGGAGGTTTTCGCACGCAAAAGTTGTCATTAACTTTTCCTTTTCCCCGCAGCCATCTCCCTGGTTATTGTGGACAGTCCAATTAGATGTTAACAAATTTAGTAACGGTCAGTTAGAAAAGAAGGACTCCTGGCCCATCTTTAGCCAGGAATAGACTTTACTAGAGGCAAAGTGGTTAGAGCAGAAGCAAAGATGGATCGCAGGTTTTCGCGCACAAAAGTTAAGGCTTTGATACAACTGCTGGCAGCAAAGCAGGAAAGGTGCAACGGCTGTGTAGTTTACAAAGAGTCTCCATTCTCCTCTCTGAGCGCTTCCTGATTTTAAGTGGCCACTTGTTACTTCTGTAAGGAACGAGCAATTTTTTCCCTCCCTCCCCGTTTTAGAATCATCCCGGACGTCTCCGATCTGAAGATCAAGCGAGACAAAATTTCACGGCAAGACGTCAGCTTTATGAAGAAGGTAAATTCCCAGTTTGAGAGACTTAAAAACTCGTCGGGAGATGATAATGGCAGCCCCCCTCCCCTTTGTCAACGTGGTGTTTGCAGAGATCCCCTTATTTTTCTTGGATTTGCTCCAGATAGAAGGCAGTCCTGATGCTGGGGGATTCTGGGGTGGAAAGATGGTCCTTAGTTTATAAAAAGAAAATGAAACAATTCTCTAACAACAGTTAGAACAATTAACCAGTGGAACAACCTGCCTCCAGAAGCGGTGAATGCTCCAACACTGAAAGTTTTTAAGAAGAAACTTAAGCCATTTGTCCAAAATGGTATAGGGTTACCTGCCTGAGCAGGGGGTTGGACTAGATGACCTCCAAGGTCCCTTCCAACTTTATCATTATTATTATTATTAATAAAAGGAGGGGAATGGGGAGGGCGCGCAGAGAAGCAATGTAGCCCTGTCTCTGAAATGAGTAAATCAAGGGTAAAGGGGAGGCCTTGTGGGGGGGGGCACAGGGGGATCGTCCCCATGGCAGCAAAAGATGGAGGATAGGGGGGGCTGCTGTGTGGTACTCTTCGACCTAATTAGAGGCCCGTTTCCTGGCTTTATTGCTTACTGATCTCAGCTGCTATTTATATACATTTTGGATGTTTTTCTATTTGTAAAATGCTTTTTGTTTTAATTGTTTTTATACTTTGGGAGTTAGTTGGAAGCTACCCAGATTCATTGATTGAAATGGGTGGCTATGGAAAAAGAAGGAAGGAAGGCAGGGAGGGAGGAAGGAGGGAAGGAAGAAGGAAGGAGGGAAAGAGGGAAGGAAGGAAGGATGGAGGGAGGGAGGAGGAAGGAAGGAAGGAGAAAGGAAGGAGGAAGGAAGAAAGGAAGGAGGCAGGAAGGGAGGTAAGAAAAGGGAAGGGGAAAAGGAAGTTAAGAAATGGGAAATGGAGGGAGGGAGGGAGGGAGGAAGGAAGGAAGGGGGAAGAAGGGAGGTAAGAAAAGGGAAGGGTGAAGAAAGGAAAGAAGGAAGGAAAGGGCAGGAAGTGAGGTAAGAAAAGGGAAGGGGAAGGAAGGCAAGAAATGGGAAAGGAAGCGAAGGAGGGAGGGAGGGAGGAAGAAAGGAACAAAGGAAAGAAGGAACAGGAAGGAAGGAACAAAGGAAGGAAGTGGGGAGGAAGTGAGGTAAGAAAAGGGAAGGGGAAAGGGTAAAAAATGGGAAAGAAGCGAAGGAGGGAGGGAGGGAGGAACGGAGGAAGGAAGTGGGGAGGAAGGGAAGTAAGAAAAGGGAAGGGGAAGGAAGGCAAGAAATGGGAAAGGAAGCGAGGGAGGGATGGAGGGAGGAAGAAAGGAACGAAGGAAGGAAGGAAGGAACGGAGGAAGGAAGTGGGGAGGAAGGGAGGTAAGAAAAGGGAAGGGGAAGGAAGGCAAGAAATGAGAAAGGAAGCGAGGGAGGGAGGGAGGGAGGGGAGGAAGAGAGGTAAGAAATGGGGAAGGAAGGAAGGAAGGAAGGAAGGAGGGAAGGAGAGAGAGAGAGGAAAATACACCATTCATCCCTTGCTCTGAGCATTAACAAATTGTCTCTCACGGCTGTGTTGTGTCCCTTCCCCCCCCCCCCCCCCCCCCCCCCCCCCCCCCCCCC